CTCATAGTCCCCCAGCATCCCATGATGCTTTGCAGCCCTGAGCTGTGCTGTCTGCTCCAGTGTAGGAGGGCTGGCCCCACCCCACTGCTTTCACAGAGCTGAGGCAGTACAGCCCCTGCTCCCTAGCCTCTGCCTGTCAGCCCAGCTGGGTGAGGGGCAGGGGAACAGACCCCTAGCCCAGGTCTGCACAGCACAAGGGGAGGGAAAGCACCCTCTGTGGGGCAGGGAACACCCTCTGTGAGGCTGGGGGATTTGGCCAGCCCCAGGCTACAGGAACTATTTCCCCCTCACACCTGTGGGCATGAGACCATTTTGAGAGGTGGGAGGGGGGAACCAGGGGCAGGGCTCAGGGGACCCTGCAAGGGATAGGGAACCTCCATTGAGACTGGGGGATCCTGCCAGCCCTGGCCTAGAGGGACTGTTCCCCCAGGAAGGGTTGGGGGAGGACAACAAGGTAGGGAGACGTGCTGGGCAGCCAGTCAAGGATAAGCCCTGCTTGGTTGCGTTTGGGTGCCTTTGGCAGTGGCTGGCAGTCTGAGAGGTGTGCTGTAGTGCCCCTGGCTAATGGTAAGGGCCATTGCAGGGGTCTTGCTGCCTTCCCACTTTTAAAAGTTAATGTCAGTTCAATCTATTCAATTTAGAGACACCTGCAGAGATTGAACCAATTCAGCATGGGGCTTTTTGACTCTCCATACTTAGTCATTTCCCTTGCATGGCTGAAGGAACTCTGCAGCATCTTGCCATCCTTACAGGCACCTTAGAAGTTAAATACACTCCCCTCCTCCCATCCTAGTCACATCTAGACCCTTGAATAAAGCTGCATGACAGAACATGCCTGAACAATATAACTGCCAATAACATGTCAACAGCTCATCTCTGTAATGGCATACCGTGCTGTCATGCCTCTTCCATAACAATGGCACCCTGAGGCTGGAGCAGCAGCAGCAAACATTTTTTTTCAAATACAACCAAAGTGCTCTAAATAGTAGGAACTTCTTGAAATGGGGGTGGGTCTGATACTCCATACAGAACATGGGAAGCCGTGAATTTGGTTTTGTACTGCATCTGAAATACTGAAGCTTGGGCAGGAAAGGAGGAAGAGACAGCAGAGAGATCTATGTTGCTGAAACAAACATTTATAAAATCCTGTTAAATAGCCACATATGCATGGCAGTTAATGTACTGAAAGTTTCTGCCCTCTACTGGCATTTTTAAAGATTGCTCACAATTTATGTATAAATTTTGGAATTACTTCACAAAGGAATTATTATAGACTTAACATTCAAAGGCTTGCCATGCTGGCCAACTATTTATAAAAACAAATCTTTAGAATGAGATATCTGAGGGACTATAGGAATGCCAGTATCTGACAGTTTAAGATATCTGCGTACTTCTCCCCTGGCTCAATGCCACAAGATTAGTATAAAACATCTCTCCCTTTGCATGTACTACTTGCTGCCTTCTGGCTGACCAACACAGGAGGACAGAGAGGTGTGGGAACAAAAAAATGAAATAATACTCTTTTGGTCTATGTTCTTACTCTGTTTCAATTCTTCAGCCCACCAAAACAAAATGAATTATTTCCACAAATGAAATAATTTGGGAAATTAAGAGCTGTGATTCATAAATGGTTCAGAAATAGATACAATCATATCTGATAACCTCTTACAGATATTAAATTCCTTGAAAAAATCATACATTTACCATGACTGAGTTCATCCATTTTCTTTAGATATGGAATATCATACATTTTTAAACTTTCATTCACTGTGAATAATGGATATTTTCCATTAATTCATGACAAACCGATAATTTTCCAATTAAATATATGTTTTGAGAACTAATTTAGATTACATAAGTAGTCAGAGAAAACAAGGTCTGGAGTTAAAATATAAGAATTCCTAAAGTTCTTTATTAAGTTATTTTTTAGATTACTTCACAGTGAAATCTGAAAACATCAAGCCCAGCCCTACAATACTTAGTTATGCATGCCAGTAGCCCTTTTGCAGTCCCATATAGTGTAGTTTTAACCAATGATTCTGCCAGTCAATAGGACTGCTCACAGAGTGCAAAGTTAAATAAATGAGTACATTTTTGCAGGATGGAGGCCTCAGGATAACAGGTCAATATCCTAGCCATTCATTGCTGGAAATATCTAAATAGCTTACTTTTCAATACTGAGAGATCTTTGATTTTTTTTAAAACTACTACATTAATTTACTATTAATATCAACCCTGTTTGCCTCAACTTTTATAATTTAGCTGTGCTTTAGTAAACATAATGCCATTTCTCCAAAAGTTTAATGAATATATAAGTTTATACTGTATTAAAGAATTGTCTGTCTGTTTCCACCATGAAGACACTGCCATTATTTCAACCTTCGTCATACCTTACATTGCATCTGTACAGTGGGGTCTGACACATGCATACAACTGGCAGCCACAGCCCCTGGGCTAACTGGACAGCTTCCCCCTGCTGGTCTCTTCAAGAACCTACCTACTTAGTAGGTAACCATCAGTCCTTCTATATCATGGACCATGGTATATACGTGAGAGGTCACCAGGACCTTCAATGCATGCGCCTAGGCAGGAGTAGGGAGGAGTGGAGGCTGCCCAGACCTTCTAACTCACCTTTAAAAGACGAGATCCAAAGGCCAGACCAAGTCCAGAGGTTCGGTGCCTCAATGGCTGTAGTTATATGCGCATCTGGGAATCAAACCTAGATCTCCTACATAGCAGACAAAGATTCTGCCACTGAACCACAACAGCAGGTCTACCTACTTCAGTCTTGACATAATGCATAAACATGGAATCACACAATTCCCCTACTCTTGGAAGGCTGTCATTCCTATCTCAGCTCATGTCTGGCACTTACAGTTTTCTTTCCTTCAGCTTTGATGGGGGCAGCCAGTGACCAAACAGCCCCTTAGAGTATCATTCATTTAGGAAAAAGGAAAAACAGGTGTTAAATAGCCCCTACATTTATTTGCCTTCCTTCCATAAAGCTTATGGGGGGGAGAGGGGGAGATTGAACTCATTGCAGAGCCTCCCCTATAACAACACATCCTCATTAGCTGCTGACAACCAACCTCTGCTGTTTCTCTTAAAGAGTTTTACCTGTTTGCATCTTTCAACCTGTAGTTCCTTGCTGTGCAAAAGCCATGTCATTGTGGACTGGAGCCTAGAAGCAAACTAGTCTCCTGCAGTTCTTCCTACCCACTACCTAGTTACAGACTACTTAACTGGCGAGCCCTTGGGTTATTCTCCTCAACCTACTTTTTCCTGCAGCCACTTACTAAGTTAGATCAATACATTCATGTGGGAAAGTCTTAAAACCCAATATCCAATAATTGTCCTTCACAGGGCAGGCCACATACAGCAGTCATACAACTGTTACATCTCAGTATTCCTAAGTTATTACCTGGCATTTCCACATCCATCACATAGCCTACATTCATCAAGTAGGCAGCTGGTAATTTGGCAGCTGAGAAAGGAAAATAAAAGGTGCTAACAGAGCCCAGGGCACCAATATTCTGTATCCTGTTTTATGACCCTGTTCTTGCCACCTTTTTTGCATTAGTGGACAATTACACCCATGTAGAATCCTAACAAGCCAAGACGATAGGATCTTAGTATACAGGTAGATATACTATGCATTTCCTTTTCTTTCCCACTCTAGATATCTCTTCTGTTCCGTTATGCAGAGATTTGTATCACAAAAGAGGGATGTGTGATACACTGCATTATTAAATTGGCTGCACATCTTGAGATTTCTTTTTTAAACAAAGAGTCTCTTCCATGTCACCAGTCCCTGGAAAAATGTGTCAAAGAAGTCAGTTAGTAAAATGCTATTTCTCCAGCCAGCAGCCCACAGATGGCACCAGCTGTCATGGATCCACAGCATTACAGACTCTTTGGGAGCAAGCTCCATCTTAGCAGGAGGCCCTGGGCCTCCACAGCGCTAGGGTTCTGTGACTGCATGCCTGATTCAGCACCTGTGTTTTTGACCACTGTTCCTTATGCGGATCCAGAAGAGCCTAAATTGCTGTCTTAGAAGCCATATACCCAACACATTTTTGCAGTGATGCAGTGAAGTCTTTTTTGGAACAGGACATCATTAGTCAACTGGAAGACAATGAACATTAGTAAAGCAAGACCTGCACAAATGCATCCTTGCAAAAAAACTCTTTAGCTCTTTTCATACGTCCTGTGTTCTATCTTTCTGCAATGGAATAAGAATCTTAGTACACTAATGCATCAGTTTTTTTCTCTCAAATTCATGTCTTTCTGGTACATGCTCTTTTCCCTTTGATTAAGAGTGGTTAAAGTTAATGATCTGGGTAATGTTCTTCAATTAGAGCTCACAGGCACCTGCATGCATAAGCTGACAATTCTTGATAGACCAACAGCCATATATGCGACTATTCTTCTGTCTTAAGACAGAAGTTTACCCACTCAGTGAGAAGGGCTTACTATACAAAGTGAATAGGGATGCCGAGTCATGTACACATTTCCATAAAGTAAGACAGACATTTCCCATGTCTACACTAAGCATGCTTTGCAGAAACCTTGACTTCAGTGGTTTCTCAACAGATCCCATACCTATCCAGACAAAACTAGCTCCCAATGTTATATATGCCTGTGTTCTGCAGAAGTGAACACTGAACTCTCCAATTCAAATCTCATCTCCACATAAGTATAATTGGATAGCAGGCAAATTCTTTTCTAGAGTATTCTCCTATGTAAGAGGGCAGGGGAAAACAATCTCTTTCCCATATACAGTAGAAAACTAATTACATTTTGCAGAACTCAATTAAGTGAAAGAAAGTACAAAACCTGGAAAAGTGTTCTTACATGCAGTGGGCATCAGCTTCCCACTTGAAAGGGCTGTACAAACCTGACTGTAAATGTTACATAAAAAAAGTTTCAATTTTAATGAAACAGATCAACCAATTAATTAAGACAATATATATATTTATTTAGCTCAAAATATTTTATGCTTTAATAGTAGATTCTGAATTTCTTTTCCTTTTTTTTTGTTCCTGGATACTTTGCTTGCTTAGGTAGTAAAGAACCATCATTAGTTATACAAAACACATAATACCACACTCCAAGACAGGATGACTGTCTGCTTTTACATCACAATAACTGCTGGACTAGCGAAGTTTAGACATTTTAAGGCAAATTAAGGGCTCTATCTTGCAATCCCTTCTCATGCAAGTAGCCCTTATGCAGCCTTAAATCAGTAAAGAATACTCGCATAAGAAAAGGTAACATGATTGGGCCTTTATATACAGTGGTGATGGTGTCTATTACAACCCACAAAAAAGAGCACTGAACTGATATTCCCAGATAAGCAAAAAGAACAAATATTCCAGAAATATTCAAAAAAGAGTTGCCAGAAAGATACAGAGACAGACAGAAACTTTCACTTACATACGTGGATACAGCACAAAATTAAGCACAATTTTGGATATAACCACCACTACAATTTAAAACACGTACACCAGGGCTGTCCACCTGGTGGCCCAGAGGCCACATATGGTCCCTGGCTCCCACATGGCAGCTGCTGCTGCCACCATTCTGACAGCTTTAGTGGCCAGAGTGGTCAGGCTCCCCCTCCCTCCTGCAGGCAGGGCCTGGTGGGGCTGGGCAATGAGAGGGTTTTAGCACATGCAGTAGGGGGACATTTGTGCTGTCACACCACAAAAGGAGCCCCCTGTACCACCAAGAGTGAGTCTTCACTGTTCATGCTGTGCATGTGGCAAGGAAAGGCCAGGCTGCACACAGCATGTGGTCCCCCACAGTCTAGAAGTTGGACAGCCTTGATATACGTAATTAAAATTCAGGATTAACATATTTGCAGCCTTTAATTCAATACTTTTTGATATATAAATGCCGCTGACTCGCATCTAACGAGAAGTGTTACTCAATATCTTGCTCCACAGATGTAATCATTGGATACAATACACAACCTAAACTTAACTAAGACATTAGTTTTCAATAGTTTTGTTGCTACATTTTCAGAAACAATTCCACTGATTGACCTCAAAGATGTGCTGCTACTAGTTCAGTCTTCCCTCCTGTGGTTATCACTTGAATTAAACTGCCCGAGTTGGGTCTGTTCTTTCCTGTGATCCAGTCATAAAAAGTCCTGTTAAAAAAAATACAAAACTATAAAGGGCATCTAGGCAGGAACTGTAAAATAAAAGCCAGTTGGCCATAATCTCTTCCCACTTCCTGTTCCACATGCAGTCTATTCAGACAGAGTGCATCGCTTGAAAAATAAGGACTTTTGGACCTGAGCAGAAGCTATGTGCTTACTTGTAACAGTTGTCCCCTAGAAGGTTTCTATTTTGACTTGCAATGTCTTTGTCTTTCAGACAATTTCAATAGGGTTTACATTCAAGAATGGTTTTAAGTGTAGAACACCTAAACAGCTATTGCAGGTGCACTATTTAAACAGCTATTGCAGGTGCACTATTTAAACAGCTATTGCAGGTGCACTGTCAACTTGTTGTAATTAGTTTACACAAAAAGAAAAAAGAGAGAGTAGGTGTTTTTAAGGGATGCTTTTATGGCACAAGGAAAGACTGAACAGAGACACCTGAAGGGCAAGGCAGTTAGCTCTGAAAGATAACAACATTCATCCATGGTAGCTCTAGAGACAGAATCAATAGAGCCACATTAGCCCAGACACAGCACTACACTAGATACCCCTACTGAGAAGCAGGATACCCTGGCACAGGTGCAGTACCAAATGAATGTGGCTGTACTTCTTCTGGTTCCAGGGCTAGAGTGGGCAGACCAAGCTCAGGTGTCTCTGCAGAGTGTTGCACATGCCTTGTAGACTTCAGCACATGAGCTTGCATGTCTATGTGCCATTAGACCCACTGGGAGAGCATGTCATTTTTAATGAACAAGTTAAAACCCGTCAGTTTATTCACTTTGAGCAGAAAAAGATATTAGCTAGATTAAACTGACAGTGGCCTTTTAAGTAAGGTACCTCAAGCAGCTGCCTAAAACTTTCTTAAACCAAATTTCCAATTAATGAAGTCCAAAAGGCAAAAAAATGGAAAGTCAAAACAAAGGCTATAAGACCAATGTTGCCAGGTAAACATGCAGGTTCAGCTCAGGTCTAAATGGCCTTGATTTACCTAGTTTAAAATTACAAGGTAAACTGCAGACTAGACTGTTTTATGCCCCTTCTGATCCATGAAAGGGAACTCATTTCTTTCCCACACCCCCAAAAGAAGTTGTGCTTCAAAGGAAATGGAAAATCCCTTTCATGCCCCCTTTGCCACATCGTTCACAGCAAGTGATTTATTTTACACATAAGATAATCAGAAAATAGCAGGGTTTATCTGCTGGAAGAAAAAGGAAAGGAGATGTACATAATGAGGGGTAGAAAACTTACCTTACCAGGAGCAGTAAAAGGCATTAACCACTTTTGTTACAGTTCAATTTTAAACCAGTGTACTTATGTCTGACACAGCTGTCCATGACTTAATTTATTTGTGTGCATGTTTTACAAGGCTGGCTGACTAAAATGCCCAGAGTCAGATCCTTAGTTGAATCTTGTGTGTATACACTGAAGTTTGCAGTTATACTAATTTTCACTTGCCAAGAAGATAGCCCTAATGCCCACCCTAACACTGAGGCATGGAGAATGGAGTGTGCAAACCTATCCAAATCCATGTAGTAAGACAAACATTTTAGGAGTGAAGATTTAAAAGGAAACAACTAGGATAAAAGTGATAGCTAGAAATTGCTTAGTCATTGTGCATGTACTCACTCTGCAATGAACTCTAATGGTGTCCAGGAGCTGGTATCTGCATCAGGCATTGATTTCCTGTTCACTGGTGTATCCAAGGTAACCCTGCGATTGAAAAAGATAAGCCTTTCATTTGTTTATCGTGTTTCTGATAAGAGCCGTCCATCCTCTTCTCTTGCTCAGTTTTCAGGACAGGGAAAGCCAGGCAATGTTGTATATATTTTTCTTGAATCCTGTAGGTCTCTTAACACCACATAACCATTGCTTATATAAAATTGTAATCTGTATTTATAATTAAGGATGACATAGAGAGCAAGTTTTTCCAAAGTGTATAAGTCAGTTGTAAATGAAAATCCCATGCATAATTATTATTCTCTTGAACCCTCTAATACGAGAACACCACTTCTCAAGGTATATATAGTTTCATAGTTTCATAGATTAAGGGTCGGAAGGGACCTAGTAGATCTTCTAGCCCAACCCCCCACCAGGGCGGGAGAACAACAAAAAACCCCAAAAACAAGAACAGGACTCAAATGAGTCCAGCCAGGTAGGCATCCAGCCTCTTCTTAAAGACCCCCAGGGTAGGGGCCAGCACCACTTCCCTTGGAAGTTGGTTCCAGCTCCTAGCCGCCCTAACTGTGAAGTAGTTTTTGCGGATGTCCAATCTATACCTCCTCTCCATCAACTTGTGCCCATTACTCCTTGTTATGCCAGCGGGCGCTAGGGGAAACAGCGTCTCTCCCAAACCCTTCTGGTCCCCCCTAGTGAGTTTATAGACGGTCACCAGGTCCCCCCTCAGCCTTCTCTTGTGGAGGCTGAATAGGTTCAGGTCCCGCAGTCTCTCACTGTAGGGTCTGCCCTGTTGTCCCCGGATCATGCGGGTGGCCCTCCTCTGGACCCTCTCCATGTTGTCCACATCCCTCTTGAAATGGGGCGCACAGAACTGGACACAATACTCCAGCTGTGGCCTGACCAGCGTCGCGTAGAGGGGGAGGATCACCTCCTTGGCTCTACTCGAGATGCACCTGTGGATGCACGACAAGGTCCGGTTAGCCCTGCCAACCATGACCTCGCATTGTCGGCCCATGTTCATCTTGGAGTCAATAATGACTCCAAGATCTCTTTCTGCCTCCGTGCTCTCAAGTAGGGAGTTCCCCATTGTGTAAGTGTGCTGCTGGTTCCTACTGCCCAAGTGCAGCACCCTGCACTTGTCCGTATTGAAACACATCCTGTTCCTGTTAGCCCACCCCTGTAACCTATCCAGATCCCTCTGCAATCTCTCACTCCCTGCTAGCGTGCTCACCTCCCCCCAAATTTTGGTGTCATCAGCGAATTTAAACAGGTTACTTTCCACCCCATCATCCAGATAGCTGATGAAGAAATTGAACAGCGCAGGCCCCTGAAGCCAAGAGACCAGTTTGAACTTGCTGTGTTGTCACTAGTATTCTTCTGGAGAAGTAGAATACTTATGTAAATATTCTGTATATCATCATTCTCTGCTCCAAATAGGTTTGTAAGGGAGGTGATGGGAGGATGCGATTAGAGGAGTTCAGATAATTTTTAAGTCATTTTGCAGTACTCCTAAACCTTGAAAAACTGGGTATGGGACCAGCACAAAAAACTCCTCAAAACCTTAACTAGACTAGCAGAGAATTTAGGCAGACTATTAGGTCAGCCAGGTAACATCTCCACCAAGACAAGAAAACAACTTATAGTTAACTGTTAATAAAGCTGCTGTAGTATGGCAAGGAATTAAACCTTTTGGTTTTCCCTGAAGACTTGTGAAACTACTTTAATTCCCCAACAAACTCTGCAGAGAAAGATGCACAATATTTTGCTCTTCAACAGAAATTCCATTTCTGTAGGAAGGGTTTGTAGCTTCCACCAGAACACCAGCTGGCATTACAAAGGTAGAGTTTGATAGATAATACATAAAATGGGTCATAAATCACTGGGGCTTTGGTGACGTTTCTGTGGCAGGGGACTTCAGTGCCGCTGAACAGCAGCCAGGCATTAGGGATCTTCACCCATACCACATTGTGGCAAGGTGGTAGGGACTGTAGTTGAGTCCTAGAGCCAGCCTACCCTGGACCCAAGCCAAGTCATTCTGCCACCAGAAAATACTGCTGATGCAGACTTAAGCTCTTCAGGATACGGATTATCTTTTGTTGTATATTTATAAAGTGTTTAACAACACAGGGTAGCCCTGGCCCATGATTAGGGCACCCTGATAATGCAAATACAATTGATGCCTGATAGTTACGGATCTCTGCAATTCATGCTGGAAGTGTGCAGCATAGTAGCTTCTTTAATCTTGGGAGTTTCCCTTGTGTGCCCCCCCACAGCTGCTGATTGGCAGCATGGCCCCATCACTCACCACTTGCACCCCATGGCCAAAGAGAAAACTGCAGCTGCACAGGCAGCAAGTGGCAGTGGGTACAGGGGTGAAATGCCAAAAGCAAAGCAGCAGCCATGTATTTCCAGCCGAAATTCCAGAGATCCCTACTGAGAGTAGCAACATGTGAGTGTCTAAAAATGTTCCTCGGGGGATGGTGCTCTTATCAGGTGTTGCTGTAAACTTATGTCAAACTTAATTTTTACTTGAGTGAAGTTGTTATTTGCATGTTAAATGACAGTAGAAGTCAAATATGTAAAAGCACTTTCTGCTAATTGACACACGACAAACATTCCACGTCTGTGCTTTTCTATGTGAGCAGTAAAACTCATCTTAAGAGTCTAAAAACAGATACATGACATAATTTATCTATATTACAGAATAACCATGGCTGTAACTAAACATTCTAGTAGAGTTAAAACCTGACTCTAGCATTCATAATAAACACTTACTTTTTTCTATCTAAACACAAAATAAGAGTCCATGTTACTGTTTATGGCAATACCTGTGACTTGCAAGATACATATTCCAGAACACTAAGATGTCCCCCAGCCCTGAGGAGCCACAGCTGTGTTTAGATAGTTATCCCTGTAATCTGGATACGGCCCAAAGAATATCCACGTGACAACCTAGTAGAACACCATTTAAATTAAACAATGCAATAGCAGAGGTAGCTATGCAACCACTTACGGTAGAACAGCAACTGCAGCAGAACCAGATGGCAAACCATTATTTGTGCCAGCTAAACTCTGACAAAGCTGGTGCACTGCTCCCTTTGCCATGCCGTATCCAATCATCCCTGACAATTACAAACAAAAGTATTAAAAACTCCAAACCTTTTCACTAATAAGCACTGTTTAAAATACAATGAAGATCTGCATTATTTGAGGAGTAGGTTTACAGTCATCTACTCCAGTCTATCAACATCAGCAGTCTTTTAGCACATAAACCCATTTATGTTCACATTACATATACACACTGAGAAAACACTTACTAGATCATAAAGATTTTTGTTGCTATAATACGGATTAATTTACCCAGCACCACAGAGGTAAAAATATTATTTTTAAAAGTTCTGGTATGCTTGGGTATCTATCTCAAATTGCACCAGGAAATCAGAATACCCTTTTCAGGTAAGATGCTTCACAACATAGCACTATAACTTTTATATTTATAAATATACAGAAGTGGTATCTATTCTCTTTCATCCAACCTTGCAAATATTTATATACTTTAAGTAGTCCCACTGATTTTAAGACTGCTGAGCTACTTACTGAATCACCACTTGGGCTTACGTGTTTTTAGCCGTACTTGCTCAGCTGCTTTGAAGGAAGGTACAAGAAATCTCAAAAGAAAAAATGACTAAACCTGTCCATATAGAAAGCATTTTCCTAAACCCTCCCAGTTACAAGTTGGGTTACGTTCTGAAAGACAGAGGAGTTTCTCTCAATGACATTTATTTTGTCTATTATAACTGAATATGTTCTCATTTCCTACAATATCTTCATCTTTCCTTTCAATTCCAATAAGCTTGTGGTCTTAGTATCTCATGACCATGAATTTCACAAGTAATTATGCACTGTGTAAAGAAATATTTCCTTTGATAGGATACAAGTGTTGTCTCCATTTCACCAAATATCCTACTTTTTCCATGCACTAAGTGACTGATTTACCTACTTTTTAAATCATTCATTATTTGTATTCCGCTGATATATCCTCTCTAAATCAATATATGCTTGCACCCTCTCTCTCCCCTCTAAATGAAATCTTTCTTATGTTCCATTCTACTGAAGTCTCTTCATGCTGCTAAATTCTTTTGTTATTTATTCCTGAACCCTTCTATACCTGCTATATTTTTTTCACTTCTTCAGTCAGCACTAGGCAGTTGTCATTTAGCCATTGCTCTCAAATAGGAAAATAATGCTCTATTGTAAATAAAATATATCACAAGAGAAGGAAGGGAACATAATTAATTACTCAATGAGCCTGTAAGATCCATGGTAGCTGTGAGCAACAATTTTCTCAATTTATCCTGATATTTCATAAGTTGTGTTTGCCTAGGGCACTGCTTACATCTTTAAAAATATCCACAGTGATTGAAACCATCCAGCTCAAACAAAGCAAATTGAAAGCAAATTAATTAGATTTTCTGTCCTAACAAAACATCATGAGTTTGCAAATATGGGAACCTTGGGAACATTAACAGCATATGCCAGTCGGTTACAAAAAGAAAACTCCTATCCTGTTCATTTTCTATAATAAAGGATTTTTATCTTCAGAGTGTATTAGATTCATCTTTAAATATTCAATCATATAAGATGCATTATAAATTAGAAAACATGCAATAGTTTTCCAAAATATAAAGACACAGTTATAATTACTTCCCTTCAGTTTTTAGTTTTACAATGCTTTTCATAAATTTTAATCACAATCGTTCTGGTTTAAAGGGATGTTAATCTTTGTCTTCACTTTCCCTCTGCCAGAGTATGTATTTTTTTAAATTGCTGCCAAATTTTCTTCTTTTAAGCAAGAAAACAGGAATGTGATCAAAGACTGCAAGGTACATTTTCAAGGATCACACTAGACAACTCAAGTAGATCAAAACGGAAGGTCAGCAGCCTTGTCTGTTTCTGAAGCAAAGTTCATTAGAAGTAGAACGTGGGCAGGATGAGCATGCTCAATAGTATCAGGCGAGTTATCACTAGCCTTAAATAATTAGGTAAATAAGAATTCTGCCTTTCAGGAAAGCAAACATGGAGTTTAACCTTTTCCAAAAACTTTTGCGCTGTTGCAAGTAAAGTTTTTCATGTGCTTTTTCCTCAGACCTGAAGAATGCCTTACGTTGAAAATCTTGTCTAACTTTATTCCAACCATGCAGTTGGTTCAATAAAAGATATCACCCATAGAAATCCCTGTTGGCATTCTTATCATATGCTAAGTCAGGTTTCACCAAAGCCTGTCAACTAAGATTTAAGTACTTAGTTCTTTTGTTTGTACAACACTGTCAAACTATTTGGTATTATTTCCATCTGTAACAGTTACAAATTTCCTGAAGGGATTCAAACAGCTGTTTTCCATAATATGGTTAAAAAAAAGAAGGAATAAAACTATTGTTTCTCAACTGAGAATAATTAGAAGTGGCATATAACAATTGTGACATACATCAAAGCAAACAACATATTTTATTTTTTACCTGGGGTTCCAGCTAAAGCAGCTTTGGCTCCCGTCAGAGTCAACAAACCTCCTTCTTTCAAATGTTTTGTAGCTAAGTGACTGGATATAGTTGATGTCCAAACACTCTGCTTCCACATCAGGTCACAATTTTTGTATAAAGCTGGTAAACAAAACAATTACAAGGCAAAAATTTAGAAGACAAAACTCATTTCCTAGTTCAGTGATTCTCAAGCAGGTTGTCTGGAGATCCTTTGAAGGGTGCTATACAATGTTTGCACTGTTAGGTGTGCAAACATGATTCACAAAAAAACCTCCAGAGATTTCAAATAGGAATCTATAGTATTAAAAACATCCTGGCCTGCTGTGATCTTTCTGAGTTCACTGCAACAGTGAAATTGCTGTAATTTTCCATAGTCAAAAAATAGCAAAAACTAAAAGCTGGCATTTTCTAAGGGGTGCCTTAAGTCTAAAATAGTTAAGAACCACTGGTCTACTTCAAGCTCACTTCCCATCACACCGAATGAAACAGTACTACATACAGCTGCCCTCCACCATCTCCTTCACCTATATCAGCTAAAACCCTTAGCTAGGCCTTCATCTTTTCTCCCCACGCCTTTTGCATCTCCTATCTCTTTGATTTCCTCCAGTTCCTGCTCTTCAGTACCTGTCCAGTACTACTACCAGACTTCTCACTATAAGTCTGACCACATCCCCTAAACTCAGGATATTTTGTTGGTTTACCATTAGCTTCTGGATTCTGTTCAAAATTCCCTAAATTCTTAAAACATTTATGGACTTGCTTCTACTAGTGTCATAGGCCTTGAGTGCACACTACACATTTGCCCCAGAGTAATAAAACTTAATTCAGTTACAGTGAGGCAGACATGTTTTATACCTTTATGCTGATGCAAGTCATTCCCTTCTGGGGTAAAGGTATCTCTTAACAAGCGAGGAGTAACTAGTGGAGAACCAGATATGTACTTGATCCCCTAGTTAGTTTCATCTCAGGGTAGTAATTTGCTCAATGTAAACTGGCTTCCTCACCACCTCACAGCCAGCCTGGGAGAGCATATTGTGTGAATGCTTCTTACTATGGAATAAAAGCCAGGATACTTTGTAGCAAGTACATGGACAGGGACACTTTTATCTCTCACATCATAATCATCTCTTAGTCCCGTTGCACAAATTTCACCAGTGACAGAGAGCTTTCTGAAGCTCTTACCTTTTGGAATGATCATTTCAATTATTAGGGGAAAAAGTCTCCTGTGTCTATCACTCAATTTCTCTTCTTATTTTTCTTTTAATTTTGTAACTATATTAGTTCACTATGTAATTCTTGTGCAGGATTCAGTTTGAATGATAAACTGAATAAAATAAAGCTGTGCTACCTCGCACAACCTGTCATGGTTGACATCAGGTTAATCCATGGATAGGCAATTACCTGGGCGAAACCAGCCATTGATAGCTTTTTTCTCTATAATACAAATGTTGTTCTTAAATATTTGATATCTGTTGCAATGACCTCTGGGTTGGGCTCTGCAGTGTTATATAGAAGCCTACTTTTGATTTCAACTCTTGTTTTTTATTCCCTGTAACTTCATAGCTATCAACACTGTATAAATACTAGACTACAAGCAGCTTTTCCCACAGGCTTTGATCATATAAGTATACAAGACTGGATTTAGTACTTGGGTGAAAAACTCCAAGGAATAAAGAGACTGTTCAGAGATATCTTTTACACATCAGGCAGTTCCTCAAGTAGGGATACAACCTGCTTGACATCAGTACTGCACTGCACTGCACTGTACTTGACATGATCAGAATCTGTGCGCCAAACTTGTTGACTTGTAGTTTCAGCAAAAGGGAATTATGTGAGTATAGGTAGGAAATATAAGTGAAAACAGAAATTTAAAATTCAGCAATGATTTGTGTTAGTAATGGTTTTCACATAGCCGTGGTTGGAAAGGGAGTCCTAAGGATTAAGCAAGTTATCTGATTTAGTGTTCAAGAACAAAAGGTCATATTTCCATACAACACACCTCTTTAATACATATGCTAGAATGGTATAACAAACATACAAGATAACCACCTATCCCAAAACATTCCCATTTCACCTTGATATCCTGTTGTCTTAACAGTACTTTAAGTTTCATTACAATCTACTGTCTTATTTACAATTAACTTTTTAATTGTGCAGTATTGGTTCACACCAGATACAAATGCACATGTGCATGAACATACACCTGTACATTTTTGCAAAATGGTAACAAATGCAATTGTCCTATACTTTAAAAAAAAAGCAATCCTTTGTTTTATGTGTTTGAGTAGGATGAGGGTGCCTACCTGCTGCTTCATTTTACCCAGGTAGGAATTAAATGTTATTTGATGCATCCAACTTAGGTACCCAAGTTAAAAAGTACCATCCCAGCATTTGGTAACAAGACAGTTCAATGTTAAGCTGAAGGCCTTGATTCATTTTTAAAAATGATCTTAGGTTTTTACATAGTGCCTGTTAGTACAAGACATTATAGTATCATGGTAAACCAGCACTGAGGACTATGGCAGGATCCAGACACAAAGCGTGGGTTCTTTTTTAGCCTCTCTCTGACTTGCTGTATAACCTTGAGAAAAGTCATTCACTTCCCTGTGCCTCAGTTCCTTCATCTGGAAAATGGATACTGACCTCCTTTTCAAAGTGCTTTGAGATCTAATGAGGAAAAATACTATATGGAAAGAGAAAGCATAATAATTCACACTTACCATATTATTTTGACCACCAAGAGCAATAATAAAGAAAAGCACTTGTAAGTGTTCCAATTTTCACTAAACTGGGTTACGCAATCAGTCTTGTTTCCATGTGATCACCATAAAGGAAAGATCTCAGGTTGAAAGATCTTTTTAATGATGACTTTTACAGAATTTTCTAATGCTGCATTAATGTGTCTGCAGTAATGTATGCAACTAGCAAAGGCCTCACCTTTTGCTTTTGCACTCCCACCTGCCCATCCTCCAGCCACGCACAAGATGGCATCCACCTTTTCTTCACCCAGGAGTTTTCCAACATCTCCTGTCACCTTAAACAAATGAAGCAAGAGGTCATAACACCATCCTGAAAACAACTCACTGAAGTAAAGATCCAAACATCCAGACTACTTTAACACTGCTATTTTGTTTTCCATTATACTGATTATTCAACACACATGGCATTTTAAGCAGCTGCAGAAAATTAGGGTTTATGGTTCTGCCTGCTCAAAGCAAATAATAAAAGCAAATAGGGAAAACAAATTAAATAACAGCTGCATATGAGGTGATGTCAATGGGACAAACTCATGCAGAAAAAGTCCACAAAAATTAGACCCATATTTAGGTTGCTACACAGACACAGAGAGTCTCTTGGTTGAGTGACAAAAGTCGTTCCTAGCATACTATTTAAGAACCGACTCTCCAGATTAAACTAGTAGTAGATTTATCATGTTTCAGGTAAAGCTGTAAGAAATGAACAATTATGAAATGGACAATTATTAAAATACCCTTCCCAGGGGTAAAGTTTCTAAATAAATATAGGCAGTTTATAGCTGGGTTACACCTGTTGCTTAGGAATTTGTAAACTGTTCTCTGGCCTTTCCTTTCCTCTCCCACATTTAAGAATTTGCCCGTCAGTACAGAATTTTATGTCTGTGGATTTTACACCAAGAACAGTTGTTGCTGTGCCAGCTACTCAGCACTGGAGAGAAAGAGGTTGGTTTCTAGATGAAAAGCCTTAGATAAGACCACATCATTTCTTTTTAAAGCACTCAGCATTAAGAAGAGTAACAAACCTGTGGCATGAAATGATCCATAATTTAGCTGTAATGCCTTCTGAGTTACAAGAGCACAAAAAAAATTGCATTGGTGAAAGGAACACACTCATACACTGGCAACAAGCATAACCATTTTTTCAATAAAACAACATTTAGGTCACTATTCTCATGTGGGCAAGCTGAACCCACACATAGCCCTAGCAGCTTCATTGGTGCTTTGTGTAAATCTAGCAATCCGTCTGCCTCCAGTATATTTCATGATTTGTACCTAAGACATTGGGAATTCACAAATTTTGAAGTAAACTGTAAAGGTCAGGACTCTGAGAAACACTGTCACACTGATCAGTCAGTCCCAATTAGCCTCACAACAAAGGGGTGCCCAAACCATGACAGTATTGACAGCGGGCTAACTGCAGTACAAAATGCAGACTCCCAATTCACCTGGGTTGCAGCAAGCCAGTTACTGAGTAAGGAAACCAGATTAGGAGAGAGGCACAATTCAAAGCTGAACTTTAGACTGAATTCAAGAACATGGGGGGAGGGTGCAAGGGGGGGTGGTAAATTTGAGGTTTGCCTGCATGCTTCTGTTGGGGCTATGGATCTTTTCTTTTGTGATATTAAAAAAAAAAAAGGAAGGGGAGCTTTGGAGACCAGCCCTATAAATCACAGTGAATGATTACACCCCTGAGCTCACAGGAGCCACATCAATTCCCATGGCACTGCCCAGGCACGATGGCTCTGGCCATGCCTATGGCTTGCAGGACCCCATGACCACTCAAGCTACAGTTTCCACAAAACTCACAACCCAAACGCTGCACAATTTTGCTGACAGCAAAGGGCAAAAATTGACCAGGAATCGGTCAGTTTCGTTTTGCAAGTGTGGGAAAAACTGGCTGGGCCTATTTGCTCCTTTAAGGGATCGTGGGCCAATGCCCACCAAGGGAAACTATAAGCCTCCCTAGAAAAGGGAGTGCCCTGCAGGCGCTGCCGGTGAAGTGCAAAGAAGCCAGTCCCATTAGTCGGGCCGAGGCAGAGGACGTTTGCCCCTCTCAGACTGCCTACTGGAGCCTTTCTGCGGGCAGGGCGCTGGACTGGATTCCCTTAAAAAAGGGAGCTACTGAGAAAGTAGCAATGCATTTCTTGGGGGAAAGGAAAAGGAAAAGCGGGAAGGGCGCAAGGCCACAGGTTCAAAATAAGGGGCCACGGGGCCCTCCAACGTGTCCAAGGAGCCAGTGACAGGTGCCCCAGGACCCGGCCTGCCCCTCCCCGCACCCACTCCAAAACACAAAGGCTTTCCCCAAAACCTGGCAATTCTGTTTTTTAACATTTTGTGGAAAAGTCTAGTTGGTCTCGTAAAAAATACCACCTCGGCCAAGAGTCCCGATTCCTCTTCCCTCGAGAGACCCACCTGCTCCGCCTGCTCCGGGAAGGACTCGCTGCTCTTCACCACCACGTTGGCGCTGGCCGCCGCGTTCTCCGACAGGTCGATGCTGGCCACCCACTGCCAACGCCAACGCCGCGTGCAACGAGACACGGGTGAGTGCCTGCCAGACCACCCCGGCCTCCCTCTCTCCTGCCCCCGGCCCGGCCCGGCCGCGCGCTCACCCAGCCCCTGTCTCGGAAGTAGCCCACGCAGGTGGAGCCCAGCGCCCCGCCGCCGCCGTACACCAGCACCCTGCGCGCCTCGCCCGCCGCCGCCGCCATGCTGAGCCGGCCCGCCTCAGCGCTTCCCGCCCCCTTGCCCCGGGAGGAGCGGAGCCGCAGTCAGTGAAGCTGACGGAAGTGGGCAGAGGGCGGGGACGCGCGTCCCTCTCAGACCGCCCACAGGATCCTTCCCGTGGGGAGGGCGCTGCCGGAGCCAGCCCCGCGCCCACAGCTTGCCCTGCCCCTCTGCTTCGTCAGGCCCGGGGGGCTGGGGCTCTGGGGGGGATGGGGCAGTCTTTTTCGGCAGCGCAGATACGGTGTTGCCCTGGCCACTGTGCCCGCCTGGCAGGGGAAACGCCGGGTATCCGGGTCCACGAAAGCAGCTTTCCGTTAGCATTCCCGGGAGTCGCTGTTCTGCCGTGGTTCAGCACCGCCGACCGACCTGCTGGGGCTTAAAGCCCGTTTTGTGAAAGCGGGAGGCTTCTCCCTAGCTTGCTTCTGCGGCGGGATGGCTGAGGGCAAGCGAAACCTGGGGGTATCCAAGCCCCGAGCCTCTGGGCTCCGGCCTGCGAGTAGGATGTCTGCCACAGGGTTTGGAAGCATCTGTAGCCCCAGGCGGGGGTGGAGGATGCTTGCCATTAGCAGGGCCACATGTGGGTCTTGAATGACTCACAGATCTGGAGGTGATTTGGCTGATTTGACTTGGGACATGAAAAATTTTCCTAAAAAAAAAAATGGATGTGGCAGGGGAAATACTGTGACCATGATGGTGGCAAGGAAACTACTTTGACCGAGGTTTCATAGTTTCATAGTTGGTAGGGTTGGAAGGGACCCACAGCAGATCAAGTCCAACCCCCTGCCTTGGCAGGAAAGAGTACTGGGGTCAAACAACCCTGGCAAGATGATCGTCTAGCCTCCTCTTAAAGACCCCCAGGGTAGGAGCCAGCACCACTTCACTTGGAAGTTGGTTCCAGATCCTAGCCGCCCTGACCGTGATGTAGCGCCTCCTGGTGTCTAGTCTGAATTTACCCTCTGCCAGCTTGTGACCGTTATTTCTAGTCACTCCTGGCAGTGCTCGGGGGAACAGGGACTCCCCCAATGCCTGCTGGTCCCCTCTAACTAGTTTGTAACAGGCCACTAGATCCCCCCTCAGCCTTCTCTTGTGGAGGCTGAACAGGTTCAGGTCCCGTAGCCTCTCCTCGTAGGGCCTGCCCTGCTGCCCCCGATCATGCGAGTGGCCCTCCTCTGGACCCTCTCCATGTTGTCCACATCCCTCTTGAAGTGCAGCGCCCAAAACTGGATGCAGTACTCCAGCTGCGGCCTGACCAATGCTGCATAGAGGGGGGGGATCACCTCCTTGGGCCTGCTTGGGATGCATCTGTGGATGCATGACAAGGTGTGGTTGGCCTTCCTGACTGCATCCCCACACTGCCGGCCCATGTTCATCTTGG